CGTACCAAAAAAAAAAAAAAAAAAAAAAAAGGTCACCTCTGCTATTTTTTAAAAAATGAGACGTTATCGCTACAGTAAAGTCATTTCTACTCTTAGAGTAACCAAAGCTCAAATTAGTTAGAGCCTGGAAAACTTATCACTAAATTATACCAACCTATTTTAATCTAAGAGCAGTGGTTTCTCTTATTTATTTCCCCAAGACGAAAGGATTATAAAGATTAAGACTCCAAGACGGGACTTACCTGGTGGCGCAGTGGTTAAGAATCTGCCTGCCAATGCAGGGGACACGGGTTCGAGCCCTGGTCCGGGAAGATCCCACATGCCGCGGAGCAACCAAGCCCATGAGCCACAACTACTGAGCCCACGCACCACAACTACTGGAGTCCGCGCGCCCTACAGCCCATGCTCCACAACAAGAGAAGCCACCGCAATGAGAAGCCCTCGGCAACTAGAGAAAGCCCGCGCGCAGCAACTAAGACCCAACACAGCCAAAAACAAAAAAAGACTCCAAGCCAAGGAAGGGTAAACTTTTCCTTTCAAAATGACCAACATTTGCCATTTTCAAAATTTCCACATCTTTGGTTCCTGAAATCATCAATCACTTCAAATTCTAAGATATTATATAGTAATTTTCAGACACTAATAATGTTCCTTAAATTCTTAGGGGCACTTGATTTGCTCACTCCAAAGTACAAAATATCTGGCAATGGCAGACCAATATTCATACCATAGCCTCATGGCTCTAACGTTGATGGTTAGCAGAGTTCACTTTGTTCATATCTTATACATCCTAAAAACCAGGAATATTACTAGGAGGAGACAATGAGACTCCCAGGGAGGTGACCTAATAGAGAACATGACCTCAGATTTCCATTCACAACTGGAATGAAAATTGCCCTGGCCTAAAGGGAAAAAAAGCAGCAGAGTAACCTGGCAAAAAAAAAAAAAAAAAACTAGAGGTGACTAATAACTCAAATAGCAGAGGATCCTTTGCATCCTCCAGTGTTCCAGTTACCAAAGTTCCAACAGTCATTTCTATTAACCCAAACAGAGGGGCAGTAAAATATTCAAGTGAAGTTTTCCTCCTCCCTCCCTTTCTCCCCACCCTGCAAGAGCTCAAACTAAAATTGGGATTTGGACCTTCCTTAAGTGGAAAAAGGGGCTACATCATTTTCATTCAAAAAATTTGGCATTTACTCAGTCTTCTCAAGGCACTTTACTATCATCAATTATTTCTCAGTGAGAGAGTGCAGGATTACCCTGACCATTTCACTGATGCGGAAACAGACACCAACAGCAAAGGGAACAGGGGCAGGAAGAGGGGCGATAGGAAGCATCTGGGAGGAACAGGCAGGCAGCTAAAAAGGAACAAACCCAAAAGAAAATGAGAGTCACATCTGGCTTAAAGCTGACCATCATAACCCTTGTTATTTTTTAGCTCAGAGAGATTTCTGAAACGTTCTGAAAACAGAAAGTGCTCTAAATTATCAGTTCATATCTTGTTACAGCCTAAACTTCTTGGTCATAGAAGTAAAGTTACTTAGCATTAAAAACTCACTATCCAGAGCCCATACTGATTTCAATTTATACCAGTAATTCATTTTCTCTCTCAAGCCTAACCAGTATGTTACCTGTTTGACCCAGAAAACAATCTCTCATAAAAATATATCTTTATATCAACGTAATCATAACAAAAAGGCACAAAGTTAATATCACATAAGTCAGAAATAATTCACAGTTCCACTCAAATTTTGTTTAGAGAATTATGACCAAAACATTGACTCCCTGAATTTGCCATTGAAATAAGAGGACTACTTGTTCTACATTCGTATTGATTTTCTTAACTATAACCTTGAAATTTTCAGGAATAAACTACTAATGGGAAGCCTTAAACACCCCAGAAACCAGCACACATAGCAGTAGGTTGAACTGAACCCCATACTACAGGCAGCACAGATAGCTAATAAAAATGTGTTGACTGAAGCATAAATCAAAAAGACTGACCAACTGCCTCATGAGAAACACCACCTCTTGAAGAGTGACTCCAGGGGCTTCCCTGGTGGTTCAGTGGTTAAGAATCCGCCTGCCAATGCAGAGGACACGGGTTCGAGCCCTGGCCCAGAAAGATCCCACATGCCGTGGAGCAACTAAGCCCGTGTGCCTCAACTACTGAGCCTGCGCTCTAGAGCCCGTGCTCCGCAACGAGAAGCCACCGCAATGAGAAGCCCGCGCACCTCAACGAAGAGTAGCCCCCGCTCGCTGCAAATAGAGAAAGCCTGTGCGCAGCAACGAAGACCCAACACGGCCAAAAATATATAAATAAAATAAATTAAAAATAAAAAATTCTATCCGACTGTTTTGAAGAATATGGATAAAGACATAGCCAAACAAATACAAGGCATCAGGTGAGAACTCAAACTTTTCTCAAAATCCCAATTGGACTCAATTCCAAAAGCTATTTTCACATTCCTGCCATTAAATATACAAAACCACAAACATAGTGAAAGAACGTTCATCCTTGGAAATACATTATTTAACGCGTAATTTAAAAAAAGAATGGCAAGAAAGGCAGAACTGTCATTACTGAAGAACATTGCCAAGCAGTGTTACTGAGAAAAATTAAATATGAGTCTATGAACTATCGTTATAATACAACTGCTTGTCATAGGAAGTTGTACTCCATAAATGTTACACATCTTATAATACTCTTTCCCCAAACTAGAAATATGAATAGCTCTGGGAGCATTAAAAATGCAGCAGCATCTGCAGTTGTTTTCGGGAAGAAAACCATCTCCAATAATTTCGCAAATCACATGATCAGAAGGAAGTATTCACTTTCCCTGTCTCAGTTTTCCCCTCCAAACCGACCCATTCACTTTTAGAGATGTCTGTCCTAAAGTCACCTTATAGGTACGTCATAAATGTTAATCTTCTAATTCTTCAAAGAAGAGGCTAACACCAAATTGTAAATCACACTTTATAATGAACGACAAACGTATTAAAACCTCTTTTTAAAAAAAATCAAGACCTTAAACGGGAACCTGTAACTAAATACCTGTGCTGCCCTAACATTTGGGGGGGGGGGGGGGAGGGGAAGGCGGCGCGAATTTTCAGCTCAGCCCTCAAAGCAACGTATAACCTCAAGACGCAAAATCTATTAAATTCGTCTACTCGCTCTTCCCCTGGCGATTCACACTAGGGTGTAGCACAACCAATATCCAGGTGGAAAAAGCGAGAACGGTATCTCAAAGTGAAGGCAACAGTGGTCCTTTGACCCACTCATGCCGCAAGTGCACGGCGGCCGCCTCTCCGCTCCTGGGGAGAGCTGGAGCCCGGCTCTCCGGCCCCCACTGCCACCCGCACCCCACCCCCAGAGCGGGCCACGCCTTCCCGCCCCGCTTCTCCCCCGAGGGCGAGCCACCGGCGCTGTCCCCCACCCAACCGCCCGGAGCCCCGGGCCGCGAGTCCAACGGACACCTGGCACCGGGACCCGAGCCCGCGCTCGGCCACAGGCGCATCCTTCCGCACTGACGTTTTACCTCCAAACTCCAAAAGTTATCTCACAAGTCCCCGGAAGGCTCCCGGGCGCGTTTCAGCCCAGACCACGCAAAGTCATCCCTACTCCTCAGCCCCGCCGCCCACCCGCGCTGTCCCGAGACCCCAGCCCGGCCCCATCCACGGCCGGAGGATGCTCTGGAGAGTGCTGTCCCAGATTCGGGTAAGGGGACGACTGGGGAAGAGAGGCCCGGCACCCGAACGCCGCGGGCGGGATGGGCCGGTGTCCGGCGACCGGGCCCCGGGTGAGTGAGGGGCGTCGCGGAAAGCGCTACATGGGGCAGGGGAGCCCCGGCCTTGGGGATGAGGCCGCCGAGGGGCAGGGGAGCTCTGACCTCGAGGGTGAGGCCACCGAGAGTGGGTGACCGGAGTGCGGGGCCGAGCTCGGGCCGGACCCCGCGGGGCGGTGAGGGGGCGTTCCGCGCGGGAGACGCGCCGCCGAGGACTCCCACCCGCCCGCAGACAACGGCTGGAGCCCAGACGCCACAGCTGCGCCTCTCCGGTACTCACGGGGCCTGGAGTCGCCACGCACCTCGAGTCTCGTCGGCGAAAAGAGGGAAATTCTGTCACACTGGTCCAGCGAGCCGGTACAGGTCTTCACGCCGCCGCCGCCATGTTTGAGAAGCCGCGCGCGGAGCCGCGCATGCCCCGCAACCGCCACCGCTGCCCCGCCCCCCGCCCCGCTGCCCGCGTGCCCTGGGGTTGCCGCAAGCTTGCCCTCTGACCTCGGCCGCGTGCGGGGCTCGAGCCCGGGGCTCAGCCGGAAGCCCGCGCGGGCGGTGGCGAGCGATGAGACTCTGCGGCTCGGGGAAAGCCCTAGGCAGTTCTCCCTCATCCTCCCCCCGCCCCAATCTGCCCTCCCGCCAAAAAAAAAAAAAAAAAAAAAAAAAAAAAACCCCCCCCCCCCCCCCCCCCCCCAACCCCGCGCCCCCCCCAAAAAAAAAAAAAAAAAAAAAAAAAAAAAAGCCAGTCGCAGCCCATGCACCCAAGACCATGGTGGGCCCCCAATTGGGAATCCAGGGTCCGCGTCAAGTTTCATCCAAGGGGAACTCGCTTCCCTTGGCCATCGACTTCGACTCTCGGCCACCGCCCACCCTCGCCACGCACCGAAAAGGCAGGCGCTTCCCTAAGAACTCAAGCAAGTTCGATGAGCACGGAAAAAGCAGCTAGTTAGAGCAGCTTGAGAAAAGCCATTCCTTCGCGGGTTGCAGCATAGTTCTTGAAACAGCTTTTCTCTTTTTCCTGTGGGTTTTTGCCACGCATTCCCCTCCAGCTCCACATTCCGGATTTAGTTGTTCCTCTAAACCCTGGTTTGAGATAACGGGAACTAGATTAACCTGGAGAGTAAAATAATTTGCTCACAGGTTTCAGGGTGCTCGGGAGTGTGCTCGGGAGCGTCTTCGAGAGTGCATTTTGGGGTCTCCTCTGCCCTATCCCCCTCGCCCTGGACCAAGCGGTTGCGCAGGTGGAGGTCGCACCAGGGGGGAGGGGGAGGGCGTAAAAATAGCTCCAAAAGAAATCTCTCCGCACAAAATGTGGCAAACAGAAAACCAGAGAAAAACATCCCATTCTTCATTGTTAGGTTGGGTATAGGCAGATTTAAAACTTTTGTTTGAAAAATAATACAATATGCTGTGTTAGCCAAAAGTAAACCATTGGCAGGCCTTCTCTCTCTCTACAACTCTTTTCAAAAGTCGGATGGAGGTTTTGCATCCGTGATCTGCTTAACTTAGTATATAGGACATGAGTATTTTTTAAATCATAACTCGGAAATCGGAACCTAAAAAAAAAAACCCGCGGAATATAGCCATTTTCTACAATGCAGAATAAAATTATTTTCATACGGCACAACTTTTGCAATGCTAAACAAGGGCCAAATTAAAGTATTTTCTATTGTATCTGAACACTGGCGAATGGCACAAGATCAAATTGCTCTAGTTGTTCTTGCATCCTTTAAAAATGAATAAGTAGGAAATCAAGAAAACACTCCCATTTACCATTGCAACAAAAAGAATAAAATATCTAGGAATAAACTTACCTAAGGAGACAAAAGACCTGTATGCAGAAAATTATAAGACACTGATGAAAGAAATTAAAGACGATACAAATAGATGGAGAGATATACCATGTTCTTGGATTGGAAGAATCAACATTGTGAAAATGACTCTACTACCCAAAGCAATCTATAGATTCAATGCAATCCCTATCAAACTACCACTGGCATTTTTCACAGAACTAGAACAAAAAATTTCACAATTTGTATGGAAACACAAAAGACCCCGAATAGCCAAAGCAATCTTGAGAACGAAAAAAGGAGCTGGAGGAATCAGGCTCCCTGACTTCAGACTATACTACAAAGCTACAGTAATCAAGGCAGTATGGTACTGGCACAAAAACAGAAAGATAGATCAATGGAACAGGATAGAAAGCCCAGAGATAAACCCACGCACATATGGTCACCTTATCTTTGATAAAGGTGGCAGGAATGTACAGTGGAGAAAGGACAGCCTCTTCAATAAGTGGTGCTGGGAAAACTGGACAGATACATGTAAAAGTATGAGATTAGATCACTCCCTAACACCATACACAAAAATAAGCTCAAAATGGATTAAGGACCTAAATGTAAGGCCAGAAACTATCAAACTCTTAGAGGAAAACATAGGCAGAACACTCTATGACATAAATCACAGCAAGATCCTTTCTGACCCACCTCCTAGAGTAATGGAAATAAAAACAAAAATAAACAAATGGGACCTAATGAAACTTCAAAGCTTTTGCACAGCAAAGGAAACCATAAACAAGACCAAAAGACAACCCTCAGAATGGGAGAAAATATTTGCAAATGAAGCAACTGACAAAGGATTAATCTCCAGATTTTACAAGCAGCTCATGCAGCTCAATAACAAAAAAACAAACAATCCAATCCAAAAATGGGCAGAAGACCTAATAGACATTTCTCCAAAGAAGATATACAGACTGCCAACAAACACATGAAAGAATGCTCAACATCATTAATCATTAGAGAAATGCAAATCAAAACTACAATGAGATATCATCTCACACCAGTCAGAATGGCCATCATCAAAAAATCTAGAAACAATAAATGCTGGAGAGGGTGTGGAGAAAAGGGAACACTCTTGCACTGCTGGTGGGAATGTGAATTGGTTCAGCCACTATGGAGAACAGTATGGAGGTTCCTTAAAAACCTACAAATAGAACTACCATATGACCCAGCAATCCCACTACTGGGCATATACCCTGAGAAAATCAAAATCCAAGAAGAGTCATGTACCAAAATGTTCATTGCAGCTCTATTTACAATAGCCTGGAGATGGAAACAACCTAAGTGCCCATCATCGGATGAATGGATAAAGAAGATGTGGCACATATATACAATGGAATATTACTCAGCCATAAAAAGAAACGAAATTGAGCTATTTGTAATGAGGTGGATAGACCTAGAGTCTGCCATACACAGTGAAGTAAGTCAGAAAGAAAAAGACAAATACCGTATGCTAACACATATAAATGGAATTTAAGAAGAAAAAAGAATGTCATGAAGAACCCAGGGGTAAGACAGGAATAAAGACACAGACCTACTGGAGAACGGACTTGAGGATATGGGGAGGGGGAAGGGTGAGCTGTGACAGGGCGAAAGAGAGTCATGGACATATACACACTAACAAACGGAAGGTAGATAGCTAGTGGGAAGCAGCCGCATAGCACAGGGAGATCAGCTCAGTGCTTTGTGACCGCCTGGAGGGGTGGGATAGGGAGGGTGGGAGGGAGGGAGACGCAAGAGGGAAGAGATATGGGAACATATGTATATGTATAACTGATTCACTTTGTTATAAAGCAGAAACTAACACACCATTGTAAAGCAATTATACTCCAATAAAGATGTTAAAAAAAATGAATAAGTAAATGTTAATGCAAAATTCAAGAAAACTTGAAGGCAAAAATAGAAAAACTAGCCCATTGATGTGCAAATATTAAAGAGAGATTTGGTCCATCAGTTGTATAACATATAGCACATAGGAGAGAATGTTGAAATGGTCTAAGATGAAGGTTCGAAAATGTTTTTAAGAGCCAGAAAGGTACCTTTAACAGAAAGAAATTAAACAGGTTTAAGTTTAATCTTAGCAAACCCTTAGTATGGGCTACGGTGGGGGGGGGTGTCAAATTTTTAATTACTGGCCATTGTCTTTCTAATCTGGTTGCAATGGAAATATTTGAAAGTCATCTCTACATTCTATGAAAGATTTGAGTTATCATTTATGCCTCTTTTACATGTACAGACCTTTTCTTAAGTTGTAGAAATACTACTCTGATTGTAAATTGCCTGTCTCAGGGACGCCTTGTCTACTTCCCATATTTCTTTCCCATATTTCCCATGAAATTACTGAAGCCCTTATTCTAAAAATGTAATTCACATTATCTATATTAGAACATCTTCTCAATGACTCTGTTCACCTAAGCATTTATAGAAGTGTCTCCTTGTTATATTAAATATGAGTTATTGATAATGATAAGAGCTACCATCTATTGAGCACCTACCATGTGCTGAGAATCATGCTAGCCTCTTTAGTTACATAATTTTCAATATTCATAATGTTCTTTCACAGAGTTCTTATGAGGTAGGTACCCTTATTCCCATTTTACAGACGAGGAAATTGAATATTACACAGCAAATAAGTGGCAGAATCAGCTTCTGAACATATACTTGAAACTCTCCTAACTATCCCTTCCATCTTTGTCATCAATCATATGCTTTCGTCATAGATTATGTATATAAACATTCAATAAAATTTCTTTTATTTACTTATACCTTGCTTTTTCCCCCTTTGCCAAAATAAACTCAAGACTGCTTTTTAATGATGTTAGCATAGTTTGAAACATCACTGTTTCTTTTACATTACATGGAAGCATCTTGCACACAGTAGGAACTTGGTAAATACCAAGTTGAATGAGTGAATAGATGAATGGATGAATGAATTCCTACTATTATGATGTTTAATTAATTTTGCCTAGATAACATGAAAATGAGGAGACTGGGCTTCCCTGGTGGCACAGTGGTTGGGAATCCGCCTGCCAATGCAGGGGACACGGGTTCAAGCCCTGGTCCGGGAAGATCCCACATGCTGTGGAGCAACTAAGCCTGTGAGCCACAACTACTGAGCCTGTGATCTAGAGCTTACATGCCGCAACTACTGACCCTGCGTGCCACAACTACTGAGCCTGCGTGCTGCAACTACTGAAGCCCGTGCACCTAGAGGCCGTGCTCTGTAACAAGAGAAGCCACCGCACCTCACACCAGTTAGAATGGACATCATCAGAAAATCTACAAACAACAAATGCTGGAGAGGGTGTAGAGAATAGGGAACCCTATTGCACTGTTGGTTAGAATGTAAATTGATACAGCCACTATGGAGAACAGTATGGAGGTTCCTTAAAAAACTAAAAACAGAATTACCATATGACCCAGCAATCCCACTACTGGGCATATACCCAGAGAAAACCGTAATTCAAAAAGACACATGCACCCCAATGTTCATTACAGCACTATTTACAATAGCCAGGTCACGGAAGCAACCTAAATGTCCATCAACAGACGAATGAATAAGAAGATGTGGTACATATATACAA